AAAGATGAACTCAGGTACTTTATAAGATAGTGTAATCTACTTGGGAATAATTCTGGTGGTTAGGAAATATGGGAAATTTTTGTTCCAAAGTCTCGCTTCTTATGTCTTTCCAACTATTTGTCCTAGTTCTATCCTTTCAAGGAAGATAGATTTTCTGCTTAGTTTATCACATGACAGTCCATCAAAATAGCCAGAGGTTTCTATAATTTCCTATGAGTCTTTCCTATTCTGGACTTGAAGTCCTTGATTTGATTTATTTATACTCATGTTACATGAATTTCTATCAGGATTACCTTCTTCTGGTTATATTTCATTTTTTTAGGGTCTTTTTTAGGGTCTTAAATTTTTCCAAATTGAACAGAGTACTTAGAATGTGAAATGACATATAATATTTGATGGAATGGTTACCTGCTTTATACTGGGATACTTAAATATATGCAACCTTATTTCATTAATTTTGAGGAAGCTACATCCCACTATTAGCTCATTCTGGACATAGAGTCATCTAAAGCCCCTTAACACAAAAGCAGTGAGTAAGTTCACATCCTTTAATCTATTCTTATTGCAGTTGAGCTTTTAATCATAAATGTTTAGATTTTACAATTGCCCCTATTATATTTCATCTTCATTGAGTTCACTGTTTTAGATTTTTAGTAACTTTTAACATGCTAATTGGTGTTTAGCATACTAGTCTTGTCTCCCAAGTGTGTATAATTTGAGGGTTTCTTAACTAACAGATACTTTATTATTACTGTATGTAGGGCACTAGATATATTTCTTTTGTTATGGTATTGATAGTTTTTTTTGAAGGGGGTGTCTTTAGAAGTTTATTCTGGTTAAAAGTTTCCATGAATGTCTTAGTTAACTTATAAAAAGAAAAGAAAAGAAACTTGCCTTGCCTCATGTTGCAGCAGAACAAAACACTTTAGTAATTGTGAACACATATGATACTGGTTTAAGAACAAATAAACTACTGGGACAATATTCATTGCCAGATTCATTTATATGTTGAAAACTTACTAAGATAAAATATGGCGTTTATTTTTTTAAAGTTTATTTATTTATTTTGAGACAGAGAGCGCACCAGTGCACAAGCCGGGGAGGGGCAGAGAGAAGGAGAGAATCCCAGGCAGTCTCTGCACCATCAGTGCAGAGCCCAAGGCAGGGCTCGAACTCACAATTATGAGATCGTGACTAGAGCTGAGATCAAGAGTCAGACACTTAACTGACTCCTCCACCCAGGTGGCCCCAAAAATGGCATTTTTAATTGATTGGTTATGTATAGACTCTTTAATAGATGGTATGGGACAACTGGCTTATGTGGAGAGAAATAAGTCTTTATATAACAGTGTTTATAAAGAAGAACTTCAGATGGATTAATGACCAAAATAATGTAGATAAAACTATAAAGTTAATAAAACATCATACATCTTTGTGCCTTAGTATTAGTAAGGTATTTTTTTTTAAACATCAAAAGCATGAAACCATAAGGTGAAAAATGATTCATTTGTTGATACAACATTAAGGATTTCAGTTCAGCAGATAAATAGACTTTGCCAACCAGCATACAACATTTGGGAGAAGATATTTGCAATGACTAAACTTGTTAATGAATCAGTGTATGAAATATCAAAGAAACTCCTTCAATTCAATAAGAATACTGGAGCCATTGGGGCGCCTGGGTGGCTTAGTCGGTTAAGCATCCGACTTTCGCTTAGGTCATGATCTCACGGTTCGTGGGTTCGAGCCCCGCGTCGGGCTCTGTGCTGACTGCCAGCTCAGAGCCTGGAGCTGTTTCAGAGTCTGTGACTCCCTCTCTCTCTGACCCTCCCCTGCTCACGCTGTCTCTCTCTCTCCTAGAAATAAATAAAACATTAAAAAAAAAAAAGAAAGAATACTGGAGCCATAATAGAAAAATGAGCAAATGCACAAAGTGAAGGGAATTTGATGGAATTCACAAAAGAAGAAACACAAACACATGATGGAATGCTCATTCATTAGCAATAGTAGAAATGTCAATTAAAACCTTTTAGTTTGGGGTGCCTGGGTGGTTCAGTTGGTTAAGTATCGACCTCAGCTCAGGTCATGATCTCATGGTTTGTAAGTTCAAGCCCCACATTTGGTTCTCTGCTTCTGATGCTCTGTCTGCCTCATTCCCTGCCCCTTCCCCACCTGTGTGCTCTCACTTTCTCAAAAATAAACATTAAAAAATAAATAAAGCCTTTTAGTTTTATCTCCTAGACTAGGAAAAATTAGAAAACATAACTGGATAATTCCAAATCTTGTCTGGGATATAGGGAAATAGGAACCTCCAGGAATATAGATTGTGTAGCCACTCTCGAGAGCAACTTGGCAGTTCATTTAGTTGATAAAATTCACTTGGACCTAACAATTTGGTTCCTGAGTATATAACCAGCAATTAATTTTCACTCAGGTCCACAAAGGGACATAGTAAGAGATATTGTATTGCTTATATTATATTTGGTGGCTGGCAGTTAAAGTCTGCATTGTTGGGTGAATAGACAGACAACATATAAAGTACTTTGCATCAATCAGAAACAATGAACTAAGTGTCCCACAGCAATATAAATACACTTCTTATTATTTTTTTAATGTTTGTTTATTTTTTAGAGAAGCACAGAATCCGAAGCAGGCTCTAGGCTCTGAGCTGTCAGCACAGAGCCTGATGTGGGACTCAAACCCATGAATTACATCATGATCTGAGCCAAAGTCGGACACTTAACCAACTGAGCCACCCAGGCGCCCCAATATAAATACGTTTAAAAAACCTAGTGCCAGAGAATAAAGATGGGAATATATATAAATAGAAGGATGTTCAAACATCAGGAGAAAATAATTTATGAAAGGAGAGGGGCTTGGGGCACCTGGGTGGCTTAGTCGGTTAAGCGTCCGACTTTCGCTTGGGTCATGATCTCGCGGTTCGTGGGTTAGAGCCCCGCGTCGGGCTCTGTGCTGACTGCCGGCTCAGAGCCTGGAGCCTGTTTCAGTCTGTGACTCCCTCTCTCTCTGACCCTCCCCTGCTCATGCTGTCTCTCTCTCTCTCTCCTAGAAGTAAATAAAAAAAAAAAAAATTTAAAAAAAAAAAAAGAAAGGAGAGGGGCTTAGGAAATGAAGGTGGAAGGAAAGAAGACAGGTGTTACACAATTGAATGATGATATAAGCCATGAATTGAGGAGTATGATTAACAGCCTTTTGTACCTTGGAAATAAAAGTAGAGTTTAGGGACCCATTTGGCAGTGATATGTAAGTTGTGTTTGAGAAGAAAAAATAAAAGGCATAAAAATCAAGAGACTTAAAATAATCCAGGTACTGGGACATGAGGTTATAATTTAGGATGGTGATAATTGGGAATGAAAAAGCAAAGGACTGATGTGAGAAATACTGCAGAGAGGTAAAGTCAGCAACTAATTGGGTGAAGAAATGAGCCAGTTTTTGAATTTGGTAAATGGGAAGATGAAGGCACCAATAATTAAAAAGTAGTGAATGGGAGGATAACCAGATAGCTTGGGGGAGATATGTTGAATTCACCTTTAGATTCCACTGGAGGTTCTAGCAGTTTTTTGGGGGTAGATTGTTCACTGTTAGAACATTGGTGAAGAATATACTGTGCTAGACATCAACACAGAACGCTCTTTATCCTTAACATGTTTTGTCACAGCTACTTTAATTTCCACCATTTTGATCCTGAGAGTGCTTTGATTGGGTTGCCAGGATTTGGTAAGATTAAAATTATACCATTTTACTGTTGAGTAAAAAGTGAATAGTCAAAGCATTCTTACAAATTAGGTCTGTGTAGTTTCACCTAAGAAACTGGGCTTGATAATTAATGGCTGCAAAAAAAAATCTTAAATGGCAGAAAATCTTTGAAATTTGTTTTCTCTGTAAAAACTGATCAGTGAAACAAATCTTTTTTGTAAAATTTACTCTAGAAGAGGCTTCATTATTTAAATAGTTTCAGCAAAATGAAATTGAAGTGAAAAACAGAAATTTTAAGCATGTGGGAAATTGCTCTAGGTACCAGGTCAGCTTAATTATTTTGTACCAGAAAATGCCTTTTTCTCTCCTTTCTCTCCTTCCTACCCATAGGGTAGAATTTAGTCATCTTCTTTCCCGTTTATTACATTTTTAAATGTATTATAAATTTTACCAGTAATATGTAAGTACACTCTCATCATAATATATTTAGATTATCTAAGCAAAATAAAAAAATCATTCCTCGCTTCTCTTTCCAGAGGGAACCACTGTATCTGTTTGGTACATATCCTTCTAGATATCTTTCCACTGCTTTTACAAATAATGTGTGTACAAAAATAAATGTTTTGATTTGTGGATATTTAGTAGTATTCTCACTGAAGTCCTTTTTTTTTTTTTTTAAATGTAAATGTCTTGAATATCTTTCCATGTAAGTATATATAGGATACAAATGTTTGCTAGGTGAAAACAGTCTTCAGAATATTCTTGCGGGCTACATAATGTTGTAAGACTGATTTGGGGAGTTGAAAGGATTGAGGGGGATACAGGTGTGTTCTCACAAATCTCACAGTCTAATAGAAGTGAAGCATGTAATAATTATAATACGTTGGAGTAAATGTTCTAATAGATATATATACAAGGTGATATCTGAGCACAGAGGGAAGAGCATCAGACTCTCTTGATGGAGAAATGAATGTGTCAGGTTGTAGTCAGAAATGGTAAAAGGAGTTTAGGATCATTTTCTAGGAATAATATTTTAAAGGTCTACTATGGCCCAGAATGAGTTAAGTATCATTTACTAGGTTCATTCTTCTCTCGTTCTTTTGAAATTCATATCACGTTCCAGAAATTATCCTTTCTCATGTCCTAGGGATGGTCCTGAAATTATCATGTATTATTGTCTTTTAGAATTTTGGCAGCTTTAAATTGTGCAGGAATTACTTTAGTTAAATGTTTGTATTTCATCATGCAGAGGATTATGTGAATGTATTTTCCCCCTTTTTTAGGGAGGTGGTTGACTCAATGGTTCAGCATTTTAAAGTGACGATATTTGGGGATCGTAGACCAGTTTATGATGGAAAAAGAAGCCTTTACACAGCCAATCCACTTCCTGTGGCAACTACTGGGGTAAGATGCAGTCCTTTATTGGAAAGCTCTACTTTTGCAATGTCTCCTTTTAAATGCACTTAACTACATTTTATTTTATAATAGTCCATAGATAGTAAAGTGTGTCATTTATCTTTTTTAACTTTTTATTTTGAAATAATTTTAAACATATAGAAAAGTTGCAAGAATCATTCAAAGAACTCATGTAGACCCTTTACCCAGATCCACCAATGTTTCTTTTTTTTCCTCCAGATTATCTCTTCAGGCACATTATTTTTTTTTTAAGTTTACCTATTTATTTTGAGAGAGAGAGAGCATAAGTGAGTGGGACAGGGGCAGAGAGAAAGAATCCCAAGCAAGCCCCATGCAGGGCTCAAACCCATGAACTGTGAGATCATGACCTGAGCTAAAACCAAGAGATGGACGCTCAATTGACTGAACCACCCAGACACCCCTCACCAGTGTTCTTTAACATTTGCCACATTTATCATTATCTTTCTTTTCTTTACTCTCTTTATGTCTATAGATATTTAGAGAGAGAGAGACATACTTTTTTCCTGAACCATCTCAGAGTAGGTCGCATATAATCACACCCTTTAATATGTATTTCCTAAGAACAAGGATAAAAATCAAAGTACAGTTATCTACTTCACTAAACTTTTCATCTATATGATACTTTGGTCTAATCACCAACCGATATTCTTTCAGGGATGACTTTTTAGCATTTTTTCCCTCTGGTACAGAATTCAGTCCAGGTTTGTGATTGTATTTAGATTCACCATGTCTTTTTAGTCTTCATTATTCTAGAACAGTTCTCCAGCATTTTTGTTTTCCTTTCATGAAATTAACATAGTGGAAGATTACAGGCAAGTTATTTTATAGAATGTCCCTCAGTACGGGTTTGTTTGGTGCTTCCTCTTGATTAGATTCTAATTTAGCATTTTTGGCAAGAATAATTACACAATTATTCTTTCCTTATCAGTGGATCATATCAGGATACATTTATATGTGTTTGTGCCATTAATGATGGCCCTGAGTTGATCAGTTAGTTAAGTTGGTATCTGCCAGGTTTTTCCTCTCAAGGTTTCCTTTTTTCTCTTTTAACTGTTGTGGGGAGATTTTATTTTTAATTGTGGTAAAATACACATAACATAAAATTTACTATCACAGAGCTCCTGGGTGGCTTGGTTGAGTGTCTGACTTCATTCAGCTCAGGTCATGATTTCACAGTTCACAAGTTTGAGGCCCACATTGGGCTTGCTGCTGTCAGTGCAGAACCTGCTTTGGATCCTCTGTCTTGTCTCCTTCTCTCTCTGCCCTTCCCTTGCTCACTCACTCTCTCAAAAAAAAAAAAAAAAAAAGAAAGAAAGAAAAAAAGAAAATCTACCATCTGGGCCATTTTTGTGGTACAGTTTTTAGTGGCATGAAGGATGTTCTCAGCCATCACCACCATCTATCTCTATAACTCTTTTTATCTTGTAAACCTGAAACTCTACCCATAAAACACTATGTTCCCTTTCTTCCCTCCCCTCAGCCCCTAGCAACCACCATTCTACCTTCTGTCTCTATGACTTTGACTACTCTCAGTACCTCATCTAAGTGGAATTATATAGTATTTGTCTTTCTGGGACTGACTTATTACACTTAGCATTATGTCCTCAATCATCCATGCTGTCGCATATGTCAGAATTTCCTTCCTTTTTAAGGCTGAATAATATTCCATTGTATGTAGACTTTGACTACTCTCAGTACCTCATCTAAGTGGAATTATATAGTATTTGTCTTTCTGGGACTGACTTATTACACTTAGCATTATGTCCTCAAGAATCATCCATGCTGTCGCATATGTCAGAATTTCCTTCCTTTTTAAGGCTGAATAATATTCCATTGTGTGTATATACCACATTTTGTTTATCAGTTCATCCATTGATGAGCACCTTTTGGCTATTGCAAACAATGCTGCTATGAACATGGGTGTACAAATATCTGTTCCAGTTCCTGCTTTCAGTTCTTTTTTATATAAGTGGTAGTTCTGGGGTGCCTGGGTGGCTCAGTCGGTAAGTGGTAATTCTATTTTTAATATTTTGAGAAATCACAATACTGTTTACTATAGCGGCTGCACCATTTTACATTCCCACCAACAGTGCCCAAGGGTTCCAAATTCTCCACACCCTTGCCAACACTTGTTGTTTTCTGTTTTCTTTTTATAGTAGCCATTCTAATGGGTGTGTGATTATATCTCATTGTGTTTTTGATTTGCATTTCCCTAATGATTAGTGAGTTGAGAATCTTTTCTTGAGCTCTTAGAAGCTCATTTGTGTATCTTTGTCCTTTGCCCATTTTTCAAATTGTGTTTAGTTTAGTTTTTGTTGTTGTTGAGTTTTAGGGATTCTTTATATATTCTTATCAGGTATATGACTTGCAAATCTTTTCTCACATTTTGTAGATGGCCTTTTCACTTTGTTGATTGTGTCCTCTGATGCATAGAAGTTTATAATTTTGATATGGGGAATACTTTAAGGATCCTGTTTCTCATTAGAGAAAGTATATATTTTTATTTTTAGAGAGCACATGTGTGAGTGGGGGAGGGGCAGAGAGAGAAAGAGAGAATCTTTTGGGGGCGGGGGAGGGACAGGGAGAGAGAATCTTTTTTTTTTTTTTTTTTTTTTACAAATAGTTTATTGTCAAATTAGTTTCCACATAACACTCAGTGCTCATCCCCACAAGTGTCCTCCTCCATGCCCATCTTCCCGTCCCCCCACATCCATCAGTCCTCAGTTTTTGTCAGCATTCAAGAGTCGGGAGAGAGAATCTTAAACAAGCTCCATGCCCAGTATGGAACCCAATGAAGGGCTTAGTCTCAAAACCATGAGATCATGACCTGAGCAAGATCCTAACCTGAGTGGATAAGAGTCGGATGCTTAACCGACTAGCCACCTAGGCACCTCTCTCATTAGATTTTTAAATAATTGATGATTTTTGCTTGGAAAGATCATTAGTATGTAGTAATGGTGATTTTCTAATTCTGTCATTCCTTCTACCTTTATTGGATGATATTCAACTGTAAGTGAGAGAATTTTCTTCTCCCTTATTTATTTATTTTTATTTATTTCACTGTCCCAGTTTTCCTGGATTTGGCCATTGGGAGCCCCTTTAAGCTGGTTCCTATACCCTTTTGACATGACACACTTTTTTTGAGTACTTCCTTACTTTCTGGCACAAGATGTTCCAGGCTAATCTTATGTTTTCCCTGCTGCAGCCATGCGACTGGCCCTTTATCAAAGGAACAATGAATGATTTCTTTTAGTTGGGGGATGCAACTTAGAAACTGAAATCTGGGTACTGAAAGTAATCATTGCTGCTGGGGTATAGGTATTTGGAAAATGGACTGAAGTGGGACTAAATAAATAAATAAATAAGACAATATATCATAAATATTCTTTGTCATGTAATGAATTTAACATATTCTACAAGTACTACTTACTGTACAGTGTACAATATATATTGGAAATCATGTCAAAGTGATTCTTCCAAGTTTCAGTCTGTTCCCTGAGAATTCTTTCTTTATTCCACATGTTGCGAATTTGTATCTTCCTTCTTTTTTGTTTTTGTTTTTTTTTTTTTATCATTATGAGAGTTTAATGGCAATTATCATTTATGAGCATCTATTAAATTCCAGGTATTACATTTGCAACAGTGGATGGTTAATATTGGCTTTCCTTTTTTATTTATTTATTTATTTATTTATTTATTTATTTTTACAAATAGTTTACTGTCAAATTAGTTTCCACATAATACTCAGTGCTCATCCCCAAAGTGCCCTTCTCCATGCCCATCTCCCCCTCCCCCCCACATCCATCTTCCTTCTTTTTTGAACTTCAAAACATCACCACTTTTACTCATTTGTTCAATCCTACCATACATATATAAAATCATTTCTGAATTACTATACCATACCACTACAGAAAATAAACCTCCTCATAAAAGTTTAAGGTTTTATTTTGTATGCGGTTCTTTTCCACGTGTACAGCCCCCAATATGTTCTGTGTTCAAGAGTTCATTGTATTGTTTCCTTTTTTTCCCCTTTCTTTCAGTGTGGTTATGTTATCCGTTTGAAACATACTTGGTTCCATTTGATTTTGTTTATATTCAGTTTTAATTTTTTCACTTCATCCTTCTTGATTTTGTTTTTAACTTATAAAAAACTTTATTTTTTTTAATGTTTTATTTATTTCTGAGAGAGAGAGACAGCGTGAGCAGGGGAGGGTCAGAGAGAGAGGGAGACACAGAATCTGAAGCAGGCTCTAGGCTCTGAGCTCCTGTCAGCACAGAGCCCATCGCAGGGCTGGAACCTACAAACTGTGAGATCATGACCTGAGCTGAAGTCGGACACTTAACTGACTGAGCCACCCAGGTGCCCCTAGAAAACTTTGTTTAAAAAAAAGAAAAAGGTACCTGGGTGCGCAGTCAGTTAGGCGTCTGACTTTGGCTTAGGTCATGATCTCGCGGTTTGTGAGTTCAAGCCCCTCATTGTGTGAGTTCAAGCCCCACATCGGGCTCTGTGTTGACTGCTCAGAGCCTGGAGCCTGCTTTGGATTCTGTGTCTGCCTCTTCTCTCTCCCACTTGGGCTCGCTTGCTCTGTCTCTCTCTCTCAAAAATAAATAAACATTAAAATAAATAAATACATACATACATACAAAAAAACAGCATCTCTATTTAATATGCATCCAGAAGTCAAAACTGTACTGAGAAATATACTCAGAATTGTTCATTCCTCCTTTATTTCTTCTAGTCTGTTTCTTCCCATCCTTTAAAAGAAACCAGTTTTGTTTCTGGTTGAAGCTTCTTGTGTTTCTTTTTGCTGAAGTAAGATATATGAATATTTTTCCCAATTTCCCCTTCTTTCTCACACAAAAGATGGTATACTATTTGTAATCTTCTCTACTTTGCTCTTTATTACTTAACAGTGTAGCTTAGAAATTATCTATTGATTTAACATTGAGGTTGATTTTTTATTTTAATATTTTCCCTGCTTTTTCTTGAATATTTTTACAACTTAAACCTGAAAATACTTGTACTTATCTTTTTCAATTTATCAATTGACTCTTTTCCCATCAACAGGTAGATTTAGATGTTACTTTACCTGGGGAAGGTGGAAAAGACCGACCTTTCAAGGTGTCGATTAAGTTTGTCTCTCGGGTGAGTTGGCACCTACTACATGAAGTACTGACAGGACGGACCTTGCCTGAGCCGCTGGAATTAGACAAGCCAATCAGTACTAATCCTGTCCATGCTGTTGATGTGGTGCTACGACATCTGCCCTCCATGAAGTGGGTGCTTCTGGCTTTTTTTCCTTTTTAGATTTTAAGTGTGTAGACTTTCATCCCAAGAGTGAGTTGTGCAGGCCTCCTTTGATCACCCTTCACATGTTGTATATTTTGATTGCTTCATTTAAAGAATAGGATACATACAAGTTCATTGACATAAGAAGTAAGTTACAGAAAAAACTGATTTTTCAAAGTAAGTGCACATTGTTAGCTTCACTATTCTAGTGGATACCTTTTAGAAAAATGTCTAACCCTTTGTCTTAGCAGCTGTAAATCTTGAATAATTGATATGTTTTCAGATATATTCCTATAGTTAAGTCCTCTTGTTATAAAGGTAATTTTGTTGTTTATACAATAACATCAATTTGTATTGAAATTGCTATTCTCTTAACACTGCCACCTCACAAGTGTGTATTTGTATTTGTGTGCCTGTATATATAGGATCAATGTGTCCTTTTAAAGAAAAATACATGTCTTGCAAACACATTTATAGAAATAGCATTTTCTAAGATTGGAACTGGTTTTTCTTTTCATCGGTTTCTAATATTTTAAATAAAACTTTTTCTTACCCAAATTAACAGTTTTAGGAATAGAGAATTTCAGTGAAGGATGCTGATGGTTTTTGTTTTGTTTTTCATTTAGAATGGCTGCATTTTGCTTTCATAAATTTGGGAAATATTTATTTTCATATATTCCTAATGATAGGCATTATTATGATAAATTAAGTTTATGTGTTCTAGACTTACCTGTTCTGCAGATTTACATACCTATATGGGAAGGAAAGGACTGAACATGACATTTTAATTTTTGTAGATATACGCCTGTGGGGCGTTCCTTTTTCTCAGCTCCCGAAGGATATGACCACCCTCTGGGAGGGGGCAGGGAAGTATGGTTTGGATTCCATCAATCTGTTCGACCTGCCATGTGGAAAATGATGCTTAATATTGATGGTAAGGGAACTAAAACCATATTATGTATTGGGTAGTTGATTCCCATATTGTGCACATGTGCGTGTGTGAGTGTGTGTGCGCACGCACGTGTGCAGTTGATATATAATTATACATACAGGTGTCTTTGGTGTCTTGAAGTAATATTTGGACATATATTAAGACAAAGTGGAAAAACTTTTGTATTACATTTCATTTAGTAAGGCTTTACACAGAAGTTGTCCTGGAATACTACTAAGCATCAAGTAAGCACACAAAAGGAAATATAAAAGCCTTGACGTGATTGTCTGAACAATCTCACTTTTGTCTTTTTAACTCTTAAGTCAGTATTTCATTATGAAATACATGTTTTAAAGAAAGAGAAGTCTGTTGGTCATTTTGACCCCAGGTATTATACCTACTGTTGATGCGTATAGTGGTACAAATTGCATTCTTATTTTTAGGTCTTATTAATATATTTGAGCATATTTCAAAGCAGGGAGAATAGTATGATAAACTACCACCTATATGCAAACTGTCAAGAATTTTCTACCTTTACTCCTCAATTATAGTATTTTTAAATCAAATTCCAGACAGCAAGTTTTTTTGTCTCTACTGCTTAAGTATATATCTCTAAAAACATGGGTGTTTCTTTATACAGTCATAATGACATTATCATATGTAAGAAAATTTTAAGTAATGATTTAGTTGTAGCAGCTAATATTCTCTCCGTAATCAGATTTCCTTGATTGTCTCAAACATGTCTTTTTTTTGTCTCAGGCATGTTTTTTATAGTTAATCTAATATAATTCTATTTAGGACCCAAACAAGATCCGCCTATCATGTTTGGTTGATCTGCCTTTTTAATATAATAGTCCCATTTCCTTCCTCTTGTGTTTTTTCTTTTTCTTTCTTTTTTTTTTTTTATGTCATTGACTTGTCAGACACTTGATCTTAGCCAGAAGGCCGAGAAGCGATGTCATTGACTTGTTAGAGAAACTAACTTGTCCTGAAGAATATTAAAATCTCCGCATTTGTCTTCTGTTCTTGTGGTGTCATTACCTTGTTTCTCTGCCCCCTGTATTTCCTGAAAGTGAAAGTTGGCCCTAGTAGTTTGATTCAATTCTGGCTTAGAATACTTCATACATGCTTCATGTTATATCATATTAGGCACACAGTATCTAGTGGTTCCAATATCAGTGATGCTAAGATTGACCAGTAGGTTCAGAAATCAGTAGTCCTCATCTCTCCATAGTAAATTTCCCAATCAACATTTCAATGACTAATATTCTATTTAATGATCATTGTCACCCAAATCATTTCTTTCACTAGGGATTACCAACTGGTATTTTTTCTAATTCTCTTACTCCTTTGGAATTAGATGGAATTCTTATGTGAAAAATCATTGTGTCCTATTGGTAATTTATTAGTCATTGATAGCTATTTTGCTTTCTGGAACAGCAGGATATTTCAGGTTCATCTTATATTTCTTACCCTGTACCTGGAATCAGCCATTCCTTCAAGGATCCCTATGTGGTTCCAGATCACTATGTAGTTTCTGCATTATTTTCAGCTGCATCTGCCATTGTGGGGATATATCATTGAGGAGCTATATCTCAGAAGTCCTCTTTCAATGTATATTAGAGCTGTTTTTATTTGCCATTTCAGAACATCATTCCCTATATGTGTAGATCTTTAGGATAGATTTCAGGATGTAATGGGTCAAAGGCAAATGTACTTGTAATTTTGGTCATTATTGCCAGATTGCCCTTTGTAGAGGTTCTAAGTATTGTGAATCGTGAATGAGACTACCTGTTTTGTTATGCCTTTGCCACTAGAGGTGTCAAACTCTAGATTCTATTAATTGCATTTGCAGGAAATAGTTTCCTTATGCACTTTTATTTTGCAATTAGCCATCTTTTCATATGTGTAAGGGTCACCTTCTTTTTTTTATAAGTTGTTTGTATCTTTTGTATTTTTCTTTCTGTTGGATTTTTGGTTTTCTCATTTACTGAGAGCTTTCTAAATTAAGGAGATTAACTTCTTGTGTCACAAATTGTAGATATTATCCCTAATTGTTTGTCTTTTAACCTTTGATACAGTCTTGTTTTTATTTTTTGCCATCTAGAAATTTGTGTCTTTGGTTGAGAGATGGTAAATACATACACACAAACACTTAAATGTACTAGTCAGTCATTTCTTTCATGACTTTTTAAATCCTATAGGGCATTTTTCTCTTCAGGCTTTTCTAGGCTATTCTTACTTATTTTGCCACATAAACTTTAGAAACATCTTACCTAGATTCAGTAGGTGTGGGAGGATAGGCGGTAATTTTTTAAAATGTTTTATTTTTATTTATTTTGAGAAGAGAGCAAAAGCACAAGTGGAGGAAAAGGAGAGAGAATCCCAAGCAGGCTCTACATTGTCAGTGTGGAGCCGGAAGCGGGGTTCGATTCCATGAACTGTGAGATCATGACCTGAGCCAATATCAAGAGTCTGTCTGTCAACCAACTGAGCCATCCAGGTGCCTGCCCCCAAGATGGGCTATAATTTTTATTGAAATCTCATTACAGTTAGAAATTGTTGGGACACATTGGCATCTTTAAGATACTGAGTCTTTTCTATCCAAGAAAATGCTAAACCTTTCTATTGCTACAACATTATTTTTGTTTTCTTCAGGAGTGTTTTAAAGTTTCCCTTACATGAAAGTTGCACGTATCTTCTTGTTATTCCTAGATATTTCACCACCACCCTTTTTTTTTTTTTTGCTGTTAAATGGATTTATAGATTCTAACTGGTTATTATTTACATACATGAAGTCTTTTGACTTCTTTGTACTTACTTCTGTCTGCCTTATTCCATTAATGTTTATAGTACTTATTCAAGAGATTTTCTTGACATTTCTAGTTATAATCATTTCATCCACAAACAGTGATCAGTTTGACCCTTCCTTTGGATTTTTATACTTTTGATTTTTGTCTTATCAAATTATATGGACTAATTAGGCAGTGTTAAGGAGTAGGAACTAGCAGGCATCCTCTTTTCATTCCTTACCTTAGAAAGGAATGCTTCCACATATATATGTATATGTATACGAGCATCTGAAGATTCCTATTTTATTAAGTATATTTTTAAACGTTTTATTCATTTTTTGAGAGACAGAGACAGACTGTGAGTTGGGGAGGGACAGAGGGAGAGGGAGACACAGAATCCAAAGCAAGCTCCAGGCTCTGAGCTGTCAGCACAAAGCCTGATGCGACGCTCAAATTCATGAACCGTGAGATCATGACCTGAGCCGAAGTCAGATGCTTAACTGACTGAGGCACCCAGGGGCTCCTTATTAAGTACTTTTAATCAAGATGGATATTGAATTTTGTCAGATTCCTTTTCAACATCTTTGGAGCTGATGATATGATATTTCTTGTCTTCTAACAAACATTGAACCAAACTTGTGTTTCTGGATTCTTTTAATGTGATACTGTATTCTGTTTGCTAATATTTTACCTTTTTAATCAGAATGCAAAAATAAGTTTGACCTGATCTATAATATATTTTTTGTGTGTGATCTTTTTCAGGTTTTGGTATTAATCTTATATCTCATAAAAAATCTATAAGTTTTCCATTTTCTGAAATGTATAAGAGTTTTTAATAGTACTAAACTTGTTAACTCTTTCAAGGTTTGGTAGAATTCTCTTGTGAAATCTTGTGGCATGGTGTATTTTGTTTTCTTGATGGGTAGTAGCTCTTTGAAAACTTCTTCCATTTATTTTGTGAAAATTAGTTTGTTTAGGCTCAGTTTGGTGTTCAGTTTTGGTAGGTTATATCTTATCAGAAAATTATTTTACCTGTTTTTGATATTTTATAGAGAGTTTTACAGTGTTATTTCTTATTTTTTGAAATTGTGTCTACTTCTGTAGCTTTCCCCCCATTTCTTACTTTGTATATTTGTGTTTTGTCCATTTTACTCTTAATTAGGAGAGAGTAGTTTCAACAACTGGTTTCAGTGCCTCCCCAAGGCCCCTAGCAAAAGTGCTTTTGAAACTTCTTTTTTTCTTTTTAAGCTCTCTGGCTTTCTGTTTTCTAACTTCTCAATTTCTGCTTTTAGCTTTATAAATGTTTTCCTCTACTTTTTTCAGTTACTTTAGTTGTTTTTCTAATTTTTTGAACTATATTAGTAATTCGTTTACTTTCATTTTTTCTTAATGATTAAAGTATTTAAAGTAATGAATTTTCTTCTGATCATTGTTTTAGCTACATGCCAAAGCTTCTAATATGTAGGATTTTTATTGTCTAGAAACACCACAAATTTCATTTGTATTTTCCTTATTATCCAAATATTGCTTGAGAGACTTTAAAACGTTTTAGATTAAAGATCTTTTTATTTTCTGATGTCTTTATTATTTACTTTCTGTTATTTATTTTTTGATTTTATAATTTTCTTGGGTTGTTAATCTGAGAATATGGCATGTATTTCCCCTTTGAGACTTTATTGAGACATGTTTTGTAGCCTAATACATAGTTTTTGCAAATGTTTAATAGCTATTTGAAAATAGGTATATTCAGGGACGCCTGGGTGGCTCAGTCAGTTAAGTGTCCAACTTCGGCTCAGGTCATGATCTCATGGTTCGTGGGTTTGAGCCCCGCATCAGGCTCTGTGCTGACAGCTACCTCAGAGCCTGGAGCCTGTTTCAGATACTGTATCTCTCTCTCTCTCTCTGACCCTCCCCTGCTCACACTGTCTCTCTCTCTCTCTGTCTTTCTCAGAAATAAATAAAACATTAAAAAAAAGAAAATAGGTATATTCAATTATTAGGATAGAGTTAAATGAATATCCACCTGTGCTTACCATTTTGATTAGGTTGTTTAGATGGTTTCTTATTTTTACTTAGACTGGGAAAAATAATTTTAAAGTTTCTATTATTTGTTTCTTTCCTCATGTATCCTGTGATTTCTGCTTTCTTAATATTACTGCTGTAGTTTTAAGAGCATATATATACCTGTTTCCTTCATTGTGAATTATGTGC